TTTAGTGAGAGCGGAGAGAGAGAGAGAGAGAGAGAGAGAGAGAGAGAGAGAGAGAGAGAGAGAGAGAGAGAGAGAGAGAGAGAGAGAGAGAGAGAGAGAGAAGAAGGCGGTCAACATACTTGTAAGACAGAGATGGCATTCTCGGGCCGAAGTCTCGTAGCCAACTCCTCGGCGATCAATTCAGAAATCTGTGAAGCGGACAGGAAGAAATGTCAGAGTCGTAAGAAGCACGTCGTTGTCAAGGCCAATTAGCAAAGTTATCATCATCATCTTCTTCAACATGTCGTGATCATCGCTGGCACCTGGGGATGAAATCCAAGACAACGAGAGATGGCGTAGAAAGCTTGCAGAGTTTGAGTTTGGCCTTCCACCACATTACTACCTTCGCCTCTCACCTCCTCTTCTCCTATCCTCCTCCTCCAAACTCACAAGTTGAGATTAGCTTCGATTCTCCCAACCCCAAAGCGAACTGCAGTACAAGTGTATGTCAGCAACTATGAGGCATCTGACACGTTTGACAGATATGAGGAACATCTGATATGTTTGCTTCTTCACCTTCAACAACTTCGACACCTTCTCCTTGCTGATCCACGATCCAACCTCCTCTGGCAATGTGACAACGAGCTCTGCCCTCTCCTCCTCCTCCTCCTCCTCCTCCCGGCTCGCCACACAGATCCGTACGAGCTCTGAGACCCGGGCGAGCAGGAACGAAGGAGAGCACAGCGTTCCATCGGAGCAGGAAAGGAGCACAGAGGAGAATGGCGATGTCATCGGAGGCAGATCCAGCATCGTCACCAAGTCCTGCTGGAAGGAGGAGGACATCGAGGTGGTCTTGTCCTCGAGCACCTGCTGCTCCACCTCCTCGGGCAGGTCGAAGGATCGGAGGAGGACGCGGGAGAAGGGGAGGAGGGACTTGCTGTAGATCCTCCTGCAGGAGGACAGCAGGGCAGGCAAGCGGAGCAGCTCTGCTAGCTGGCCAAGAGCATGGGCGACCATGACGCCGATGGGGAAGGAGAGAGGAGGGAAGGAGGAGGAGGAGAGGAGGGAGGGAAGGGAGGAAGCGAGGGCGGGAGGGATGACGATGGAATCTGTGTAGAGGTACCACAGCAAGAGGAAGACGACTTCGCCACGAGCTGGCAGGACGACAGTCGGCTGCTGCTCCGCTCTTTCCCTCCTCTTCGCGTCTTTCTCCTTCTCCAAGGTGAACATCTCGAACAAAGCCTTGCACCTTGCAAAGAGCACGCTAGAGTGAACGCCGATCTGAAACCCTGCTCCTGCTCCTGCTCCTGCTCCTGCTCCTGCTCCTGCTCCTGCTCCTGCTCGAATGTAGCAATCACATTCTTGCTGAAGGAGAAGCTGCGGAAGGAGCATGTAAGAGAGGGCATGCACAGCTTGCCCAGGAACTTTTTCAACCTCATCGACAACTTTCTCGTCACCTTCTCCTCCATCTCCCACCCTCGCCAGTTCCTCAACTTTGCACAGTGACGATGAGTAACTTGACAGGTTGTCCTTGACCTTGTGCAGATCTTGACGCAGCTTCCAGCGACGATCGAAGTTCCGCTGGAGTGGAGGAGGCAGACTGTTGTTCTCGAGATGAAACTGCTGCATCGCCTGCATGCCGAAGAGGCCGGAGGGAACAGAGAGGATGTTGTTGTCCGAGGCATCAAGCAGCTGCAACGAGGTCAATCTTGACACGTCAGGCGGGATCCACGAGATGTAGTTGTGAGAGACGTCAAGTGACAACAGCTGCTTGAGTTCGAATAGGCCGGAGCAGAGGCAGGAGAGCAAGTTGTGGGATGATTTCAGAACCCCCAGCATCCTCATCCTCCGGAGCGAGTCGGGGAGGAGGCGGAGGGAGTTGTGGGAGATGTCAAGAGTCTGGACGAGCTCGAAGGAGGCCAGGAGCCTGTTTGGGAGGCGGGAGAGGTGGCAATGAGAAAGATTCACCTCCTCGAGACTGAAGATCTTCACAGAGCTCTTGATCAGTCCGATAATCTGCTGTCTCCTCTCCTCCTCCCCCCGCGCCTCCCTCACCCTCTTCGTCCAGATCGCCCTCTCCTCCTCCTCCGCCGCCACCCCTGACCGTAGCACTCTCTCGCTGGCTCTCTCCTGCCCTTTCCTCTGCTCTAATCTCTTCATCCTCATCTCCAGCTCCTCCAACCTCGACATCATCTGATTTCCGCCCTCCTCCGCGTGCGCTGACCATGCTCGCTGGGCTATCCTTTCCTCCTCCTCCCCTACCTGCTGCACCCTCGCATCTCCTCTGCCTCCTCCCACTCTCTTGGTCTCGCTGGGGGGCAAGCTCGGAACCACAACCATCCTTCCTCCCTCTCCTCCTCCTCCTCCTCCTCCTCCTCCTCCTCCTCCTCCCTTCAACGGAGTTTCAGCCACCAAGTCGATTGCGCTGACGTCCAGCTCCTCCGGGAATGCCACTTGCTCCTGGTCACTCGCCTTCTCCCGCGTCCTCCTGGGAGGAGGGGAAGAAGCGTTTTCACTCGCCGTCCTCTTGCTGTGCTCAAAGAGAGCCCTCCCTCCCCGCTGCGGCTGCTCTCCTACAACCTCCGGGACGGCGAACAAGTCGGTGTGTATCTTGTCCTTGACCGCCATGCTCTTCGCTGCGAGGGAGGAGGAGGAGGAAGCTGTTCCGTCTGTCCTTGGGGTCGAGGCCATCTTGGCGGGAGGAGCGGGAAGAGGAGCAGGTTGATGCCGGAGGGCGGCGTCCAGGTGAATGACGCCAGAGGCTGTGGAGCGAGGGGTGTTGAGCTTGGAGGAGGAGGCAGAGTTTGTCTCTGACATGCTGTCGACGGATAGGGAGGCGCGATACACGTCCGAACCTCCTCCTCCTCCTGCGCTGTCCTGAGACGCGTACCCGACTTCACCTGCTCCCTCGTCCTCGTTCTCAGCTGAGGAGGAGACGGGAAAGCGGCTGGAGAATCTGGAGAGGGCAGCTCGGATAGCGTCACTGTCTATGTCGCCTCGCTCCTTGATCCCCTGCTGCTGCTGCTGCTGCTGCTGCTGCTGCTGCTTGCTCGCTCTCCCCAGAGCTTCCTCATCCTCCCTCCTCACCTTCACATCCTGCTGCTCCTCTGACCGTGTGCCTGCCTGCGTGACCTGCCATGGCTTCTCATCGTCGGAGGAGATGTGTGGAGGGAGAGGGCTGAGAGAGAGGGAGCTGGTGGAGGAGAAGGCAATGGGGCTGACGGAGGAGGAGGAGCCAGCCGTTTTCGCCGTGTCTCCTTGCTCCACATCAACGGCGAGGTGGATTTTGCCGAAACGGCCGAGAGACGTCAGCTGGACTTCTGCTGACCGTTCGTCCTCATCGGCAGGTGGAGAAGGTGAAGATTTCGGTTCCTCCGCCGGGATGCTGAGCTGGATGTTACCAAATTTGGAGAAGAGAGGAGGAGGAGAAGGAGAGCGGGAGGGGGATCGCGAGTTCCGATCCTCCTCCTCGCTATCTGCACCTGGGACACTCAGCTGAACGTTTCCAAACTTGGAGAAGAACTTGTTGTTGCTCCCATCTTCATCTCGATCATTGTCGAAGCTTGCATCCTCCTCCACTTGTTCCTCCTCCCCGTGCCGAAGGCTGTAGCCAATCGGAGGAGCTATCTCCTCCTGATGACGGACCTGGACGACTTGGTTCGGCTTGAAGTCTCTGGCAAGCTCGAAGGCGCCATAGCTCATCTCATCGTCATCGAAGAAGTTCCTCCCTCCCCAGATCTTTTCATTCCTCCGCCTGGCATCCTCCTCCTCCTCCTCGCCCTTCTCCACCTCCTCCTCCTCCTCCTCTCGTTCTGCCATGACTGCCACTTGCTCAACGAAACGCCCCCCTCAACCCTGCCTTGCTCTTCTTCACGATGCATCGCCTCCTCCACAACGTCCGAGTCCTCTCCCTCCCTGTCTCTCCCTATCATCGTCCTCTGCTGCGCAATGCGCGACACAGGAGGTCGCAAATTCCTAGCATGCTCCAATGAAGCCTTCAGCCTCGCCTGGCTGTCCGAATCCATCTCGTCCTCCTCCTCATCCTCGTCCTCGTACGACATGTCGTACTGCCAGGTGTTCCTGTAGATCAGTGACGATCTGTTCGGCATGAGCTGCAGATCATCATCCAGCGCAGACAGCACGTCTTTCTGCATGTTCGCATGCAACCTCGTCGCTCCTTGCCCTTGGCGCTGGTGGGCAGCGCCCAGCCGGCTGCCCTGGATGCTGCAGTACACATCCTCCTCCACCGCGTCCTCGTCGAAGTCAGAATCTCCCCCGAACGCGCGAGAACGCACTGAGGGGATCGACTCCATTCCCACAGCTCGATTCTGCCGCGTCTGCCTGGCGATAGTTTGCGCGAACGTCGTCGCGCTGTCCGACTCTGAATCTGACCTATGATGCACGGGATGCGAGGTGCGCGAGGGCATAGATTCAGACTCACTCCCGTCGCCCCATCCTCCCAAGGAGGAGGAGACCTTGCCGCCTCCTCCCGAGGAGGAGGAGACCTTGCCACCTCCTCCCGAGGAGGAGGAGACTTTGCTTCCTGGAGCTGATCTCGGCTTGTCGAACCAATCCCTTGTACCTTCCATCCTCAACAAGGTGTTTTGCCTCCCTGGCTCCGTTGCCTCGACTTCCTTGCTCCGACTGCGAGATCGTCTCCTCCTCCGCCTCTTCTTCTTCTTCTTCTCATCTTCTGCTTGATCGGATCCATCAGCTGTCTTCTTCTTCTTCGTCTTCGTCTTCGTCTTCTTCGTCTCTTTGTTCACTCGTTCCTTGGGACCTTCCAGCTTCACAGGTTTCGCCTCGTCGATCTCCGTCCCGATGTCGATGTCATCGGAAGAGATGCTGGACACCGAGAAACTAGCGTCATCCTCGACGTTGCTGGCCATGATAATCTGCACTGCCGATGAGCAGGCAGGAATAAATGCTAAAGATCAACTGTGGGACAGACTAACAACTTGCGTTCATCCATGCACCCCGAAAGTAACGAGCAAGGTTCGGTGACTTGCATCTCGAGTGCCATGATGTCTTCTTTCTCTTGTTATCTCTGCCTCTTCCACATCATCCCCTCCTCCTCCCCCTCCTCTGCTCTCTCGCTCTGACATAGGCTAGTCGCTTGCATTGAAGAAGCGGGGTGATGGGCGTACCAGGGGTACTCCCTCCATGGCAGACAATTTGAGGAAGGTGGGGTACTGGGGTACAGAGTGGAATCAAAGGGGGTAGTTGAAACTTGTTTCGATTTTGTAGGGGTACTTTTTGAATTTGAATCCAAATGTCGTTATGATATGGGGTATTCGGAAGTCAAAATAAGGGGTGAATAATAGAGAAGGGGGTAGGGGGTACATATTTTGAATGGAGTACCCCTAGACCTCATGACTTGTCGGAAGGAAATCCAAATCAGATTCACGACATGCGACTGATGAAGGATCAGAAGTGAGGGAGGAAGAAGACGAGAGAGATGAGGAGATGAAAGGACAGTAAGACGGGAGGGAGTGAGGGAGGGGGAGGGAGGGGAGGGAGGGAGGGAGGAGGAGGGAGGGAGAGGGAGAGGGAGAGGGAGAAGTAGAAGGGGGAGAGAGAAAGGGAGGAGGAGGGGAAGGAGAGGGGAGGAGAGGGGAGTGAGGCAGAGGCAGAGGAGAACGGAGGGAGGGAGGGAGGGAGGGAGGGAGTTAGAGGGAGAAACGTGCCGGGGTATAAGTGAGAGATGCATGAGAGGTAAAGTGAAATCTTACCTCAATCATCAGTAGGCTGGTGAGAATCGATCGAATGAAAATGGCTGAAAATGGCTGTTTGCATTGGAACAGACAACAGATATTAGTGTACGAGAAGAAAGCTGCGAGATCTGTGTGTTCAGTTGATGGTGACGACGTTGATATTCCACGGATAGATTGCCGTCGGGGATGGCATGTTGTCCCCTGGAGCTGACAAGTGTTTGAACAGGAGCAGGAGAGGGGAAGCAGGAGCAGGACGCAGTGAGTTGAGATCTTGAAGTAACACAGCCAAGGGCATGGCGATGTTTGGAAAGCTAATAGTTAGGAGGATAGTTGACAGACTTTCATCTCGTTCATTACGGAGAATTGAGAGAAGCGCCGTTTTGATTGCCCACAAGATGAAAGATGGGCAGACTGTGCACCGAACATGGACGATGGGATCATACGCTCTGACCCATCGATTGCGAGCACTACCATGCATGTTCTGTCTGCAAATAGAACCACGCGCGAGCCAAACATGTTGGCCTTCTCACAAGAAGGTGTTTTCATGCTATGATCTGCGTGTCTCAATGTCCCGTGCTGAGTGCTTGTGTTGAGGAGCAAGGATTGACTCTTGTTTAGCAGGACGTGAACTCGCGGCACTTCTCTTCCAACCCTCAGTCTATCAAGAGATATTACACCATTCCCAACTTCATCTGCGTGTCGAGGATCGCTGCCACTCCGGTGAAGTCGCTTCTGCCTGGAGCCCCTAGTCACGTCCTCGCCTTTGTACAGCTGATATGCCACCTTATGCTCAGCGGGCAAGACGAGATGGCGTTCTATGGCCTTGCTGTGGCGGCGATCAGTGACGGTCGGTGGAGTCCCTGGAGATTTCCTTGCCATGACAGCGCCCGGCAGGTCTGGATGGCTTCATTGCAAGAAATTTCGACCAGAAGTCCGTGCTGGGCTCGCATCTCGATCCGCTCTCGGACAAGGTCCTGGTGAACTCGCTCATGATCGCTTGCGCCGTGAGCTGCGGGATATTTTCCGTTTCTTCCGATCACTCTCCTTACAGATGAAGGGGACTCTGCCAGTCTGGCTGGTCTCGACGGTGTTTTTCAGGGATTTCTTGCTCGTAGCAGGATCTTTCGCCGTTGCCATGTGAGTTTCATTCGCGTCCATGATATCTTAAAAGTTTCATCTAGAAAAGGTGCATCTAAGGCCCATCAGCCACTGACTAAGTTTGTCCTTGATTCCGACAAGCCGTTGGAGATCAAAGTGGCGCCGTTTTCCCCTACGTAAGGCATGCTGATGGCGTCATTCAGGCTTCTTTCATCTCAAAACTCAACACCGTGTTGCAACTTGCCCTGTTAGCAAGTGAGTTGGATCTTGTTTCACACGCGGGATTGTGTAACATTCACTTGAGGTGCCATGGGAGGATTCGCTTTCCCACAAACACAAGTTATGTACATGGTCAGATTTTGGATGCCAAGCATTCAGATAACTTAAGTCTTTCAGGTACCAATGTTGTCATATGCAACAGCTACTACCACATGGATGTCACTCATAGGGTATGTATACACTCCTGGAATCAAGGATGAGAGCTTTGGAAATCAGAAACAAAAGATGGTTCACTCCAAAATTAGTTCATTAAAGTTGCAAAAACAACGGATGTAGATGGAATGAAAGGTTCACACAAAGAAAATTAAAAGAACAAAAAATACAGAAATCTAAAAAACCGACTCATTCCAGGCGTTCGGCACTGAAGGCTCGTCATCGAACGAAGAATGCCAGGCATCTTCGAACTGAGTCATTGTGAACTCGCTCTTCTTGTAACATCCATCCATCGAAGAAATAACTTCTTCGGTCTGCTTGAACAAAGTACCTTCCAGAGGGAATTCCTGCTCCAAGAATGCATCTGGAATGGGAGCGAGTTGCCAACATTCACTCGAAGAAGTCGTTTGCACAGCAGGAGCAGAGCTAGCTGAAGCGAAGCGGTGATCAACCTCCTCATTCGGTGAAGCAGGACCGTCGTTGGAAGCAAATCCGCACATCGAGTCCATGCAGTACTGAAGGCTGGGAAAGTTGAGAGATGGACCAACGGTCTCCTCGACCTCAGGTGCTGGCTCCTCGGGCTTGGCCTTGGTTGAGCTGGCCTTCGCGCTTGTCTTGCTCTTCTTGGCCGACTGCTTGGCCGCCGCCATTGTTTGACGGTATGGCCACTTCATGATCCCAAGCTTTCTGCACGCCTTCTTCATGGCAGTGGGGCAAACACCGAGCTCTTCACATGCAGCGAGCATAGGCATTGTGAAGTAAGGGGTGATGAATTCCTTGGTGACGAACACAGGGCTGCAATCATCATGCTTGCTATTTGTGTTAACGGTCTTCCTCCTTGGAAAGATGACCGAGAACTCATCACTTGGGAGCCTCTTCATGCCTTCAGGGGCGGGTCCTTCGATGGTAGACATATCAAATCGTTTGGAACAACAAACAGTTGCAAATCTGACTGTGGGATGACAGAGCTGATGCAACTTGTGCGAACTCCTTATTGATCTTCAACCTGTAGTGAAGTGTTGCAAACTCGTCTAGGAGCACCTTGTATGCTTTTCTGAACCAGTAAACAAGTGAAGCACGAACTCCCTCCTTTCTCCTCTCTTCGCACGCGGCGGCGGGTGTGGGACGGAGGCTGTGGACCCTACCTCTTTCACAGCCTCCCCTTCCACCCCCTACATATCCACCCTGATGCAAGTTGCTGTACCCTACCTCTTCCAAGATAGATGCTTTTTGGTGACCCACCCCCCTGAAACCATTCGCTCTCATGCACTTTATAAGTTACTTCATTTCACCTTGAGTTGACTCTACCCCCTATAATCCTCACAAAAGACTATTTCACACCGGTATGTGAAAATACTAGGGGTACAGTGCTATGCTGGAACCTCTCCCACCCATAAAATTGAGCGCTTTTACACTACCCCACCCCGTTAGAAATTGTATGGACCCCACCACACAGGTACCCCGTTATGTTGCCAGTGATTTCACATCCCTTGGCCTTGCCACCCCATCTTCAAGAGACTACCCTACCCGGGTGTCTCCACTCTATTTTGGAGGCGGATAGAGTATACATTGGTGGGGTGTTTGAATGTAAAAGGAAGGGGTTATTGTGGATACCCTGGACAAAACCACCGGTACATCTAAAAGTGCACGTAATCCACCCCTACCCCCACATATCCCTCTGACTGCTTCACCACGATGGATAGGCTTCTTAGGTCATAATAAGATTGCTAGGACCAAACACCAGCCTGCTTGAGGTACGGTTTTTCCTCCGACCTCCCTATGGGGGACTATGGACACCCAGTATCACCAGCAGGTCATATTACATTCGACCCACGCATCTCGGTATGTCTGTTAAAATACTTGTACAGAAGGGATCGTAGGTGTAGTAAAGAAGGAGATCGAACTCCGGTGACGAAAGTAGATCTTTTCCATCACTACACTTCTGTCATCCGTGAAGGTTTTTCGAGTGACGAGGTATACATTTTCAACAAGACACAAAACTTTTCCTGATATTTCAAAATTTCACCTGTGTATTTAGCAAATAGTTTCAAATTTGTCCGAACAGAGATGAGGATCCTTTTTAGGGAGAAGAATTAAACATGTATTTATAATAAAAAGCATTATAAAATAAAAACAAGATATGTATCGGGCAGAACCTCCCCTCTACCCCTTATTTTCCTTGGATTTTGAGGGTACCACTGACTTTACGTGCATGGAGCTAACAACTACGCCATGAGTCAGTACCCCACCCCTAAACTTATCATAGAAATACAGGGGTAGTACTCTTTGACTCATGAAGAGGCCAGACGGAGCATATGCCCGATAGGCTTCTGTAAAATCAAATCATTTTCTAAATGCACAACAGAAAATTGAAATTTTCCAGCAATTATTAGTTATGACTGCCAAAACCTGGTCTTTTATCTGCTAACCTCTTGGACCAGCAACGACCGTTTGTGATATCGTAACCGAAGATGGACACGACTTACTGGCCCGCCCCAAGTTCAGTAGTATATTTTTTGCCTATATATACTCGTATACATATTGGACGTTTAAGCGTTCGTAGTGTAGTGGTTAGCACATCAGCCTTCCAAGCTGGTGGCCCGGGTTCGAGTCCCGGCGATCGCATTCTTTTTGCCTACACAGATATTACCTCCCACAAGAGCTGCCAATATGGCAGGCTCTATGGACATATCTTGATGTCCTTGATACAGTCATGTGATGTCCTTGGTACAGTCATGAACTGAACTTTTGTTGTATGGACACAAAATTTCTTGTATTCACAGACGTTCAGTGGTGAAAGGAGAGCAGCTGATGATGTTGCGCCCTCCCTCCTGCTACAACACAAATTGCTCCCGCAAAGCACGCTCCTCCTCCTCCTCCAGGAAGATTTCCGCTTTCGTCTTCTCTTCTACATGTCACGTCAGTACACACCGATGAAGGAACGCTCTGCCAACCTTGCGACCCTGCCCACCGAATGCTGTTGAAAATGTCGAACAGCGATCCTCCTCCCTCCGCCGCCTCTTCCTTGCCGCTCTTGGTGCCTGTCCTGCCTGCTCTCACCCCTAGGGGTGCCCCAAGTCTTCGCTCCTCTCCGTCAACCCCTCTTGGCATACTCCGTTCGACTCCTCCTCCTCCTGCTCCACCGCCACTGCCGCCACGTCCTTCTCCTCCTCTTGCTCCTCCTCCTCCTCCTCCTCCTCCTCTTGCTCCTCCTCCTCCTCCTCCTCCTTCTCTTGCTCCTCCTCCTCTTCTGTCCACGATCTCTCTCACTACGGCATTGTGATGGGGATCAGGGGTTGACTTGTGAGCGACGGAGGGAACGACAGTGAAGTTCCGCCGTCCGTCCCTCTCCTGTCGACCTGCTCTGATCTTCCGCAAACCCTCCATGCCGAACTCCTGAGTGATGTTCAAGTTAGAAATTGTGTTGATGCTTTTCCTCGCCATGACCCTCTCCCATCCCCTCCACCCCGCTCCACTCTTCACCTCCCCTCCCTTCCTCCCTTGCTTCCTCCCTTCACTCCTCTGTTCCTCCCTCCTCTCTCCCTCTCCTCTCCTCTCCTCTCCTCTCCTCTCCTCTCCTCTCCTCTCCTCTCCTCTCCTCTCCTCTCCTCTCCTCTCCTCTCCTCTCCTCTCCTCTCCTCTCCTCTATCATGGTATCAGGTATCAAAGTCGATACCTCCACGATCTTTGCTTCATACTGCAGCCAGGCCGCGCCGCCATAGGACGCGTCTTCCGGCCTGGACTGGGAAGTCTTGGAGGCTCCTACGATGTTCTCCTGGTACTCTTTGTGCATCGCTGGAGCAGGATACGTCTGCTCCAGCGTCTTCACGTCTTGCGCTTGCTGCTTGTTGTCGGTGCAGGTGGCGATCGGGGAAGCGGGAGATGGCCCGCTCAGTTTGGTCTCCTCCTGTGGGAAAGAGTCCTGTTTCCAAGCCGCGATGTACCTGTAATGAGGAGAGGAGAGGAGAGGAGAGGAGAGGAGAGGAGAGGAGAGGAGAGGAGAGGAGGGGAGAGGAGAGGAGAGGAGCGGAGCGGAGAGGAGAGGAGCGGAGAGGAGAGGAGCGGAGAGGAGAGGAGAGGAGAGGAGAGGAGAGGAGAGGTGAGGAGCGGAGGGCAGGGGATGAGAGGAGAGGAGAGGAGAGGAGAGGAGGGCAGGGGATGAGAGGAGAGGAGAGGGTCATGATGAGGATAGAGAAGCAGCATCTTCTCTCACTTGGATATCTTCTCCTCCTTGTAGCCCTTCTCCTGCTCCTCCCTCCCCTTTCTCTCTGCTCAAGAATCAACAAGAGCATGCATACTCGCTCGCTGCTCACTAACCCTGCTCTTGCAGCCGGGAGATCTCACTTTCGATGTACAGCTCAGCTGCTGACTTGTATACTCTATCGAGATAGCGAGGAGACTTTCGTTCGTCGTCGTCTCTACCACCTGCTCTGTCGTCAAGGTTTGGTCGAGCCCTGCAGATTTGACCAGCTCGTGATCGGTCGCTGTCGCTGCTGAACTTCTTCGATCTCAAGACCTGACTGCAACGGTCTGGCAGGGGTGAAAGAGGATCGGGAGTCGTTGGACCTGCTCCAGTTACTCTCGCTGCTGTGGTTGCAGCTTTTGCAGCTGTTGTTCCTCTCACATCCGTTGTCCTCGGGTGCTCCAGGGATCGAGCGAGCGCTGGCTGGGGGTTGTAGAGTTGGGAGAGGAAGGCTGCGATGTTCACTCGTCTCTCCTCCTCCTCTTCTCCTCCAGCAACGTCAAGGTCCGTGTCTATATCGTCAATGATGTATGCCCTGCTCGTTGTTGCCAGTTGCTCCCTCCGAACGACGTCCGGAAGTTCCACTGTGCTCTTCTCCTCCTCCTCCTTCCTAGCTAGCAGCCTGTCCGTCAGGACCTGAAGTTCTCGTTTCAAGGCTTCGTTGTCGCTTCGCAGGCCTTCTATCTGCATCTCGAGCTTCTGCGCTTGCTTCTGGAAGCATTGCGACGAGTGGATGGCGGAATCGCGCAAGGTCATGGCCTCTTTGTATCCCTCGACCCTGATGCAGAGGTGAGAGGAGGAGAGCAAGGAGGAGGAGAGGAGAGGAGAGGAGAGGAGAGGAGAGACGGAGGGAGGAGAGTCAATTGGAGATGAAGAGAGGAGGAGAGGAGGAGAGGAGGAGAGGAGGAGGGGAGGAGGAGGAGAGGAGGAGGAGGAGGAGGAGGAGAGGAGGAGGAGGAGAAGGAATGAGGGAGAAGCAGAATCACAAGATCCTCTCACATTCGATATCTCTCTTCCTGCCATTCAGACTCCACAAACTCCATCAGGAACTCGTTCAATGCCCTCTCGTCCCCATGGGAGGATCGGAGGTGGTGGAGCTGAACTTTCAGTTTGGCAAGGTCGACGATCAGCGCGTCCAGGCTCGCTTCTACCTCCACATCTCCTCCCAGCCCCACAGTCTGCTCCATCGTCACTCGCAGCAGCTTCCAACATCATAACCACCACGATTACGATCATGAGGTCAGAAACAAGGGTGATGGATCCATCACCACCACCACCATCGTCATCGTCATCGTCATCGTCATCGTCACCATCACCATCATCATCATCATCATCATCATCATCATCGTCATCGTCATCATCATCATCATCATCATCATCATCATCATCATCGTCATCGTCATCGTCATCGTCATCATCATCAGCAGCATCAATGCCACCATCATCATCACCTTGGGCACAATCCCTGTCCTCACATCAGCGCTTGAAATTCTGTCCAAGAGGGCATTTTCGCAGCGAAGGAGCGCGAGCTCCTGCGAGAGGATACTAGATTGCCTGACTGCGTCTGCCTGCATCCTCTTGCTATGCTGAAGCTCCTCCTCCAGCCCGACGTACTTGTCAGTCAGTTGCCTGCTCCTCCGTGAGGTGCCGAACCCCTTCACTCTCCTCCCACACCACTTTGCAGCATTCCGTCCTACCTCCCTCTTTCTCCGTTCTCTTCCATCTCTTCTTCTTTCTCCCTCCCCCCCACCTTTCCCTCCCTCCCTCCCTCCTACTTCTCTCTCTCCTCTCCTCTCTCTCTCTCTCTCTCTCTCTCTCTCTCTCTCTCTCCTCCT